CCTACGACATGTTTATATGCGCTTGACGCGCTCTCAACGTCTGTTACACATGATGTGCGTCCTCATTTTGATTGATCGTACTCATTCATTCAATGTGCCAACGTCATGCAGTTCCTTACAGATTATATGGACGGCTGGTCGATCGCAAGTCATGATTTCGCCGAAGGCAATGACCTGCCGCCCGCACCGCCTGCTTACTATCCCAGTCTCCATGCCCCGCCATCTTTTTACCCATATCTCGGAGCGCCCGCGCATGCACCCGCCGAGCTATCCCATTCAGAGTCGGATGACGAGGACGATCACGAGCCGCCACACGAACGCAAACGCGAGCATGAAAACCACGACCAAAACGATCCTGACGATGAAGTGACATTGCACGACTCTGACGTTCATCTGGACATTTTTCTCCGCCTAGCCTTGAGTGCTTCGTGCCAGTCGCCACTGTCGATTGACCAGCTACTTGCCTTCTTCGATACATCTGCACTGGATGATCAGCTGCTTTCGTCACCGACCGATGCGTTCGCCGACGTATGCTATGCGCAGTCCATCAACGAGTTGCCGTCGGGACTTTGTTCTCCTTCGACAACCGCCGAGGTTTCCACAATGATACACTCGTCGTCGAAGATACGGCCACTCCCAGAACTTCCTCCTGACACTGCGTGGGTAGCAGATTTGTTCGAGCATCCAATACCGCCATCATGGCAGCCATTCTCCGCGTTCTCACCTACGCTGGCATCTTCTCGGTTGGAGGGCAATGCCAAGTTGGATTCGGTGCCTCAGGTACCTGCACACGCGCGCAATCTGAGCACGGGTTCCTCTCTCCCGCCGCAGGATGTCATATCAGATTTGGCATACGCGTTTGCGACGCCTGATGGCCCGCTGGATGAGGTTGAGACATTCGTGATGCCGAATGGGGGATGGGACGAGGCGGTAGAGAAGGGCAGTATGCTCGAGTTTACGGTGGACGGTGAGGATAAGGAAGAGCGAGGTCATATCGGTGACTGTGAGCGGGATACTACAGTCAGGCAGTGTATGGGGAGGCGGACACCCTTCGTGAGTCCTCGTTATTCCAACATCGTGTATGACAGCCGATTGAACCGCATAGGAGTCTCTCGCCGCTGCGAAGGCCAAGCCGCCACGAATATTTTGCGACCCGGACACGGAGGTGGCATTTTTGTTCTCGAGCGCGCCGCACGACCCTGCGCATTCGGTGCATTTCTTCCCGACGTGGAATGGGTCGGAGGAGCCGGTGCGAAAGGAGCGCAGTGTTTTTCGACAGTCTGCGAATGTTGTGTTGAGGAGTTTGGCGGGCTTGCGGTCGCGCTCGAGGTTGTTTCGATGATGATGATGGGCCCGCTGTTTCATCTCACCTGGATAGGGAGACGGAGGGTTCCTTTCTGTTTGGCCGTCGATTGCGCGCTGTGGTGCGGCGCGTTTTACGTATTTATCGAATTCTGATCTTTTCTCATCTCGTGTGTTGCTTCATGCTCGATCACCCATCTCACATGCATTGTCTCATCTATCTGGCATTTTATAAGATGTATTCCATTCCCCACTGCCCCTATTCATACACAGTAATGCCGAATGTCACTTCTGTGACACACTTCGCGGTTTATTCTGGCCCCAGAATGTCATGAAACTTCCATGATAGAGCTGCACCTGAAAGGTGAGTACTTTTTCACTGACGTGCTGATGACACTGATTGTTGAGGTAGAGGTCGAGTTGTGATGAATGTGTGTATGTATTCTCTGTCAATTGTCCGACTTATTGAATGTGATATGGTCAGAGGGTGTGGTGATTACTCAGATCGTACACGGGGAACGCCTGCCGAAAGAGTGCTCCGGTCAATTACCTCCCCCATCGCGATCGTGGGTTTGTACTAGCTGTTTTCCGTGTCTGAAAATGATGCGAGATGCAAGATAATCATCAATTCAGGCCTGGTGTCTAGCTTTTTCTGCTGCAAATGCTGCTTCTAGTTCATCAGTGGGTCTGGAGTTGGAGCAGTGGGTTTGGGATGCCCCTTTCCCTTATACACCATCACAGGAAGTTGCCAACTGTCCCGTTCACCCTCTCCTTTATGGTCAGCTATGGTGCATGTGTGGCACACTGCCCAGTTTGAAGGCGCATCAAGACTAGTCCGCGGTTATGCCTATCGCAAGCTAGCGACGGCTGCACACGCTTTAGATGTGCATTTGGCAGTAAGAAGCCCTCTCATGGCCCCACCGAGCCAGTAAGCAGCGGAGACCGAGGATGAAGCCGTCACTACAACTCTCTGCGATCACCGTTTTTGATATTTACATCATCTACTCGTCGACGATTGCGATTCCGTGCACAACCACCTCGATCACCTTTAATCACCACTATTGGTTCGAAAAGGGACCAGCGCAGTCACGGTGCCTCTGCTTCTGCATCCATCTGCTGGATTTGACCGAGTCCAAGACGTCGTCGCTCGCAACCCCGCTACCTGGACCAAATCAATACCAACATTATTCAGCTCACAGCGCAGTATGGAGACATCCATTGGCCTGTTCCACCATGTCAAAGTCCGATTCGGGTGACTCGGGGGAGTAGTCGACAGCGGCTCCCATCGTCATCGTCAGCGCCGACAAACTGCCAGTGATCCCGTCGGAGTCGCTCAGAGCAGAAAGCAAAGCCTCGGTCTCAACCTCCTCCGCCGTGGATGCCAGTGGGTCTTCAGCGTGCTCAGGTTGCTGTCCGACAGTGCGATTGGAGCCTTTGTCTTCTTCAGCAGATTTGATTTCGATCTTTGTGTTGACGAGCAATGTCTCTCGGCCAGTCGGTGGAGCGGCCTCGGCACTGTCGATGGTATCCGTCAGGGAACGCATTTCGTCGTCTTCTCGGATGGTTATGGTTGCGGCGTCGCTCGCCGGCGGGCTCGTTGAGAACTTGATCTGTTCTGTTATCTCCGTTGCCCGCTCGTCGCTCCCCGTCGCTGTGTCCGTCATGCTTGTTAGGGTAGCTTGCTCGGCTTGGTCTTCCTCATCGATATCGCTCTTGGTGGCGCCCTTGAAGCTTGTACTATCAGATGCGCGCTCATCGCCATCATGAGTACTCTCTAGATCCGGGTCTTCTGTCGTAGTTCCGGATGCGTTCTCCCCGCGAGGTTGTTGCATACCCGATGCTCCTTCCGCAATGCTCCTGCCCAAATCGTCAACAGATGCGTCAGACACGTTGCTTGGCGGCGCGATCCTTCCTTCTTCGGGCAACTTCGAAGCGACGGTTTGCAGAACTGGTCCGGAGCTCCCGCTAAGGCCTTTGCCACTGTCAACGGACACGTCCGCTCGCTCCTCTTCGATGCTCAAATCGGCGTTTGGTTCGGCAGGCTCCTGTAGTTGCTCGGTGGCACCGGTGATGTCTCCGACACAGTCTGCGATATTGGACTGGGAATGCATAGGAGAAGCAAGAACAGCGAGGCGCGTGCTATTATCCATCAACGGTGAACTCCTAGTATCCCTTCTTTTTCTTGCTTCCATTTCGGCCCTTCTTTCCACTTCCAGCCGTGAAGACATCGTCTCCGCCGTCCTCTGCAGGCTGTCCTTCCGCTTCGGCGGTTGCACCCTCGCCGTCGCCGCCAAGGGCTCCGTCGGCTTCTTTGCCTGCGGTGGAACAGATTTCAGTCGACTGGTGATAACAACAGGGGAGAAGCGCGATGTGGATTGACCTAGAGACTTGTCACCCTGCGCAACTTCAGCAATCGTGACACTTGGAGACGGATTGTTATTGTTGAATATCGCATCGACCGCGGCGGAAGCAGATGCAAGGGAAGGGTTGGTACCAAAGGATGACCTCGTTGGAGATGTAAGCGAGCTGAAGCCAAGAGCGCCGAAGCCGTTCTCGAGGGGAGTTAGCATCGGTGTCGACGGACCGCCTGTGAGGCCGAAGACATCTCTGATGATGGCGATCATCTTATCCTCCTCAAGCGTTATCGGCGACGAGGTGAGCACCCCGCCGTCGTAGGTCTTGTTGCGAACAGCCTCGCGCGCCGTGGCTACCAGGAGAGCCGTCTCCAGACCCAATTGGCGTCCCTCTTTCACCGACAGCGACTCCGGGCGGATGCATAAATGGATGTATGACGGGATCAAGAGCCGCTTGTCTAGATCGTACGCCTGATAGAGCTCGATCTTGGGTACGGGCGGGATGTCGAACTTTTCCAGCTCACGGGCGCAGAGCTTCTTGACTTCCGAGAACCTCCAGTCGTATGCAAGCTTCAAGATGGCTTTCCAATCGTCGACGGTCGCATCGTATATGGAGTATTTGCTAGAGACCAAGATGGTGAGCTCGGTGCACATCGTCGTGATCAGCTGGCACTTACGGATTGTAAAATACCCATAGAAACCTCGCAAAATCTTCTTGAGCGACGTCCTCGAGGAGGAACGGATGTGCTTCTGAAGATCCCCTCACGTGTTGTCCAGGAGGTGACGACGCTGCGAGCTTCTCGCGGAACCATGCTGATTCTCTTTCAAAGAAATACCGATGGACGCGGAAGAGATAATTGTCGACCTAGATCACCGCGACACGATCAGTCTACCGGTTCGCAACCCTCCACGCGGTTTTCATCCCCGCGATCGCAAGCGATGGCGTCGGCTATCAGGATACTCACCAGGAAGTGAACGTCTCCACCGGTCAAGTAGTATTTCGGATGTCTTCTGATCCTCTCGATGAGCGTGTCCGCTGCATGCCCGTTGCTGTAGGACATGGAAGGCACAGCGAGTGTAGAACCTGGGGATAGCGACACTTGGGATGGAGCTAGTAGCACCGAGCTCGTTGGTGACGCTCAGCAGCCCTGATATTCGCAGGCGAAGCATCTATCTACACGTGTTGTCCGCATGCCTGGTATGTTCGGCTCATGACCTATTTATTTGAATGGGAGATGGGCGTCCCACTGTGCCACTGGCAAAAAAAAGGAATCTCATCAAAGCCCGTGGAAACGTCTTATCCCACGCATTCAACGTTCTCTGGCCACAGTTCGGTCGACATCCATTCGAGCAGGAATTTCGCTCACCACTGCAGTCCAGATTATGCTGGTCTCGTACTCAGAATCTTTGCTCACAAGCCCACCGCCACAGAAAAGAGGTCTGGGCCAGTCTTACAGAGACCCCCTTCCGCTGAGCGCGAGCATAGTAGATAGACTAGTAGATATAAAAATCCGATGAGCCTCTGTTGCATAAGAAAACCACAATGCATGAGAAAACCAGACAAGCCAAAGTCGTCGAAGGGCAAGAAGCGCGCGAAGAGCTCGGCGACCTCGTCATCGTCCAAACCCGTACATGATTCGTGCATGTGGTTGATAGTTATGCCGGTGACTCCAATGTGGTACCTGGCAATTCAAACGGGTTCTACATCTCCCACTTCAGGCTCGTCCGAGGACAAAGGCAGTTATATCGGGCTCACTAGCACCGTCACGTACACAAATCCTATGTGCGACACCTCGTCGACCATCGGAGTTCGGAGAGTCAGCGGTGTGCTCTGCACCTGTGCGGCGCTGTCCAGCGATGCAGCCTGAGATAGCTTTCTCCACGTCACATGCTTAATCCGGAGGAACTGGATTACTCCTGCACCATCTGCAAGTGAGGTTCGTACTCGATACGATGTACGACATACGACATAGTTTGCGCCCATTGTTTGCCATCTAATATACCTCGATTAATTTGCTTGTGCTGTCTTCGTTATCCAAATCTTGAGAGTGCATCGCCCAGTTCATCAGCAGTGATACGAAGCTGTAGTCCTCTTCAGCTTCCACACACGTAGCTGCCAAATGCTTGTGGAAAGTGGACGCGACTGCATTGTGAATCTCAAGTGCTGTCGCCTGGAAAGTGGATGTGACAGAACAAGTTGTTTTGCCAAAATACAAACGAGCCAGACACGAGCATAGATGATAACATAGGTCATGCCTGAGAATGCACGCGAGAGAGGCAATAATCGAACGAAGTGGACACGTGTCCGCATCCAGTTTATCGAGGTTTCTGCTCGCGATGCAGACACGCCGCTGTCGGCGATACGGACCTGCTATCTGCCTGGGACGCTGAGTCATCTATTGAACACCGGAGAAGTCCTATTGTTGTAGGAGTATGACATAGCAACGATTCTTGTGGCCTCGAAATCCGAGTTTTGTGCAGGCAGAGGCTCGGGCGACTCACCGACGCACGAACGTTCGGAGCGATTGGCAGTAAGCGACAGCAGACGTACGAATTCAAGTCAGCATAATAGTAATCGCGCATGCTCCGGAGAAGAACAAGGGTAGGCAGAGCAGGAGTAATCGCGATATCCGAGGTGCAGTATGAGGTCTTCCTGTCGGAGAAACGGTACGCGTCTTCTCTCGGACACCGACGCCGGTGCGGTTCTTCGGACAGAGACTGATATAAGCGATGAAGTTGGACAAAGAAGCCATCATCGCCTCGCGACATTACACTCGACGCGACCTTCGGCATGGCTCTTCGGTTCAAAGTGCCTATTACCAGGCAAGCCTGTTGTACCGACATGTACAAGATTCGGAGCTTCGGAAGCTTCGCACAACAGGGATCATTGCACAGCACGCAGATGATGAAAAGATACCAGACAGATGGAGAAATGTCGTAAGGAGCTGGCGACGGAGTGAGAGAGGAGGACCTGCGGTCGTCCGCCACTCCCGCATTGGATGGGCTCCCACGCTCGCACTGCTCACGCTGCGCGCCTCACGCATAAATTTTGCTTGTCATGCACGTCGCTCGAGGTTGGTCTGGCTCGTCCTTGTCAGAAAAGCGTAACTTGGCTCGTGCTCACCGTCTGTACATCTTCGGATTCTCGCAACGCTGGTCTTGCGGATTTCTCACCGACAAATTCGATTCCATCTTGATCATGACCGGCAACCGGCCACGCAAAGAGCGGTTCCCTTACCTTCTCTCGTTCACGGTTCCCCCTCTGGGCCCACAAATTCAGGCTAGTTTCGATCAACGGCCCCTAGTCCGCTGACCACCTGGTTCCACCCTCTGCCAACCAAAGGCGGGGTAAGAGCGGGACAAGCCGGGTGAGGGGTGCGGGGTAGGATGCGGAGAAAGCCAATGCGCGCGGGGGCAGAGCGGCTGCGGCCGTTTCGGAGGACAATCGGACGAAGACTTGGCCAGCAATTCCGTCGTCAAACATTTCGTCCGGGCCTGTTTCACGTGCATAACCCCGCATTTTAGGCTGAGCGAGTGATCATGACTCGCGCGCCCGACATTCAAAAGCCATTGCCAGCCTCTTGCGCGCCTTGACGTCCGCACGCTGCATATCCGAACGCTGCCCGCACCAGCGCCCACTTCAGACGACGGTAAACGCCCTCCGATACCAACATTAAAGTATACCATGATTAACGGCCAGTGCCAGCGGACAGATATACCCGTCCGGCCTTGAGCAATAATCGTCTCTAGTTGTTCCTTCTCCAACTGCCATCATCACCATGTCGCGCTCACAAGACAAGAAACCGGTTGGATTCGCCACGCAACTGACGGCGGGAGGTCTTGCTGGTGCGATGGAGGCAGTGAGTACGACTCGCGCTCTCCATATCGTGTCCCTCACTCTGCGCAACAGCTATGCTGTCAACCGCTAGACACCATCAAGGTCCGTATGCAGCTCTCGCGGTCTGGAAAGGGAGGAGTAAGTGCCATCTATCCTAACCGGCGAATCTCGTAACTCACAGTGCACTGCAGACAAAACCGCGAGGCTTCATCGCGACTGGTGCCATGATTGTCCGGAGAGAGACACCGCTCGCACTCTACAAGGGTCTCGGCGCTGTACTGTCCGGTATTGTCCCTAAGATGGCCATCCGCTTCGCGAGTTTCGAGACGTACAAGGGTTGGTTGGCGGACAAGGAGACGGGCAAGACGAACCTCGGGGGCATATTCCTATGTGCGTCTGATCATGCCCCTGTCACGGCCGCGATTCCAGTTTGCTGACCACTACTGCTCCATATCACGCAGCTGGTTTGGGAGCGGGGACGACAGAAGCTGTGATGGTCGTGACGCCTATGGAGGTCGTCAAAATCCGTCTGCAGGCCCAGCAGCACTCGCTCGCGGACCCATTGGAGGCGCCGAAATACCGCAACGCCGGCCATGCCGTATACAAGATCGTCCGTGAGGAGGGCTTCGCGACGCTCTACCGCGGCGTCTCCCTCACCGCACTGCGGCAAGCGACGAACCAAGGTACGCTTCCCTGCCACCTTGCCGCGCTTACCCACGATCATTGATTGTCACGCTTCTTCCGCTTATTGCTGTGCTTCGCATGCCCGGCTTATCAACGGACGTTCTCCGTGATCAGGCGCGAACTTCACGGCATATCAGGAACTCAAGAAGTTCGCGCATCGCATGCAGCCTGAACTCGTCGACCTGCCCTCGTATCAGCACATGCTGATTGGTCTCATCTCCGGTGCAATGGGCCCCTTCTCCAATGCGCCCATCGATACCATCAAGACCCGTGAGTCACACCGAACCCTTCCTTCGCCTATTATGCCGCTAACCCAACTTCCTTTGCCTAGGGTTACAGAAAGCAACCGCGCAGCCGGGCCAGTCCGCCTTCCAGCGTATCACCGCGATCGCGAGCGAGATGTGGCGAGAGGAGGGTTTCCGCTCGTTCTACAAGGGGATTACGCCGCGTGTGTTGCGTGTCGCGCCCGGTCAGGCCATCGTGTTCGCGGTGTACGAGCGCGTGCGGCGCGTGATCGAAACACTGCAAGGTTCGGAGGAGGAAGCGCAATTTAGCGAGTAGATATGATGTCTAATCGCGTCACGTCTAAATTATCTATGGTACTACATTACGGATGTCCGAAGGGCAACTTAAGTATCTTCACACGCGCCTGATTGGTCGCGTCGCGAATGGTACCGATGAATTCCTTGCTCGTGCACGGTACTTGCAGAGTGAAGCTGAAGTGCCAATGCCTGTTCTTTGGCTGTGGTTTCGCTAGATAGTAGATAGGGACAATGGGAATCTCATTTATTCCAGGCCACCGGCAATTATAAGCCCCGCCTGGAAGCCTGGCCATGAGGTTTAAATTTCCGTGATAGATCCTCCGGGTTGACTGCAGCATTGTCTAAAATGTCCTTATTTAGCATCCACTTCCAAGACACCGAGGGGTAGCCTTGGATTATGACAGGGCCCTCACCTACTTCTGTGCTTCTGTAAAGATGTGTTCTCAGAGGGTTTCATCATATAATGTGGCCAGTGGGCCATGACCCACCCCAAGTTCTCCATAATCTCTTCTATAGTGTTGCAATGTCACAGCAGTCCCTGTCATTGTCCACTCTCCACAGTGCTCAGCCTGAGCATAAGTCCCGTAGGCAGCTCACCAGTGAGGGATCTAAATTGAGAGAAGGTAAACATAATACATGTGATTATATGTTACTGCTTCTGAGATATTCTGTAGAATTTTTAGCCAAGCATGGTACTAGTGCCACTGCTGCTGATGTTGAAGACCTTACACTTGTCATTAAGTCATTGAAAGGGTGTGAATGGCTGAGTAACAAGGTGAATTCCAACTGGTACGGTGCACAAAAGAAAGCCAAGAAGATACAGCTTGGTAATGAAATTGTTATGAAGCGTTCCCTGCTAGAACGTTCAGAACCACGTGTGCTTTCTCACACGTACTAGTCCACAACGTGGACAGAGACTTAGGTACCAAATA